TGGTTGTCACAGTGCCCTACTGTTTGATCTTCTATCCATTCTGATTGTTTATTGTTTTTAAATTGATGTTACCCTTCTTTTGGTTGTGTGAGGAAACGAAGCATTTCTACCTACACCTCCATCTTGGCTGCAACCTTTACAGTGTCAGAACTCTTACTTTTTGCTACAAGATAGATAGGCCTGGAAAGTATTATGCTAAGCAAAATAAGCCAGTCAGTAAAAAATATCATGTGATCTCCCTTATACATGGAATCTAATGAACAAAATAAACCAATGAACAAAATGGACACAGAGGCATAGATAAATGGAACAGACTGACAGCTATTGGAGGAGATGGGAGAAGGGGGACTGGAAGAAAGCGGGGGAAAGGATTAGCCAAAGAACACACAGATACATCCACAGACAACATGGCATACTGTAATTATGCATGCTTTTAATTTTTCTCAGCATGCTTCTTGAGGACAAGGTATGCATGTTTCAATTTTACTTTTTCTGCACTGAATATCTTGTTGATTCATAATTATGAAATGCCTAAGTGCAGAGAGCTTACATGTACATTTTAGAGAATAATGAAGTGAACATGCACCATAGAAACATGTGCTCACCATGGAGCTTTACAAAACCATTACTGTTTCCTGTGCATTCCTGTCTAGGGCTCCCAACAGAAGTACTAATCTCTATCCTGAATTTTGCAACAACCATTCTTTGCTTTCTTCAGTTTTACTTCAAATATTGTATCTTTTAAATACTACATTTAGCTTCATAGGTCTTTAAGCTTTCTATAAAAATTACATTGTGTATGCTCTCTCACAACTGGTTTTAACTTTTGTCCAATAAGCTGTGTTAGAGACATATACAGGTTGATACATGTAGCTGTAGTGCTGTCTCCTGCAATATGGTATGCTACTGTATGGTAAATCACAATTTTTTTCATTTTGCTGTTGATGAGCATTAGGTACTTTTAATACATTTTGCTCTCACAAATGATGCCTTTGCACATGATTATTTTTATGTACACGTGCTAGAGTTTCTGTAAGCTCTTTCTTAGAGTGGAATTGCTGGCTAAAGGGCATGTACCTGTTAAAAATACAGATTTTTTAAAAAATCATTTTCAAGTAGTTGAATTATCAATCTTTCCCTTAATGTTACCATTTTTTGTATCATTTAGGAAAGCGATCCTTAAGCCCAAGGTCTTCAAGTTATTTTTATGTTCTTCTAAATAGAAGTTTTATAGTTTTATGTTTAAGTCAGTTCATCTGAAATCGTATTTAATGTAGAGGTCCAGTGCTTCAAGTGGAAAACCAGTAGTTGCATGACCACTTATCCTCTGCCACAGACATGCAAAATGCTAGCTGCCATAAACTGAGTATCCCAGTAAGGCTGTTTCTAGGCTGTTGTCTCATTCTTGGTTTGCTTATTCCCTGTGCCAATACAACCCTCTGGGGCAGCACCGGCATCTGCTCAAATGCCTTCTCTGATTTTCAAGTCACTGTTTTTGGCCTCTGGTATTTCCTTTACTTATGAGTTCAGTTATGCCTTTAAAAGGATGTTAGAGTTTGTTCAGCATTTCTCTATCTGCAGTGAGAAATATTTTTCAGACTGCCTAGTTAACCATTTCCCAGTGACCACTGGGAAAGAGAAACTGTTTAACTGATTCCTAAAACCAAATGGTTGTGATGATCTCACCTTGAGGATATGAGTGAGAAAAAAAGCACAAAGTGTTTCATGTTGGGGATATTTCTCTCAGTAATAGAAGTAAAAATGAAACTAAATAGCAGTGTTTAAGTATGTTTTGGTTAAAACTTTCTATTAAATAGTTGCTTTGTGTAGATCATTGCAAGCTGGTCAGAGTAATATTTAGGTTTCCAAAAGAAAACAAAGCAATCAATCATTAGACCTTCATGCCTGTCACAGGAAGAATAAAGCCATCAGCCATAATAGCTTGACTCTCATGAAAGTCTGGGGCAGAGAGTTGGGAGAAATGTCTCCACTTTGAGTGAGATCGTTTCAATAGTGGCAAAGCACCAGAAGGATTAACATGGACATAAACTAGGTAACATGTCTAATGAGAGTAGAGAGAATTAAGTTAATTTTTGTGAAGAACTCAAGCTGTGGTACACTTACACAATGGAATACTACTTGGCCATTAAATAGAGAAAAGTCTTACCCTTTGTGACAGCATGGATGGACCTGGAGAGTATTATGCTAAGTTAAATAAGCCAGTCAGAGATAGACAAATGACATATGATTTCACTTATATGTGAAATCTAATGAACAAAATAGAAATGGATTCATAGATGTAGAAAACAGACTGACAGCCATCAGAGGGAAGGGGTGTTGGGGAGCTGGGTGGAAAAAGTGAAGGGGTTAAGCAAAAATGAACAGAAAACCCCAATACTCATGGACATAGTATGGTGATTACTCAGAGGAAAGGGGCACAGTGGGAGGTAGAAGAGGGTAAAGGAGGGATAAATGGTGATGGAGACTTGCCTTTGGATGGTGAACACACAGATGATGTATTTCAGAATTGTACACTTGAAACCTATATAATTTTATTAACCAATGTCACCTCAATAAATTCAATAAAAATTAAAAACAACTCAGAACAGTGTCTGGCATGTAGTACTATGTGAATACTAGTAAAAATAAGGAGTGGAATTATAACTGTATCATTTGGATGATGTGTTCCTATTCCCCCTAGATAAGAAACATGGGATCCACACAGCTGAGCTATGGTGCACAAGAGTCATTAATATTGTATCTGTTTATAGCTAAATCCATCCAGAGGTGTAGAGTATCCTGTCTTTAGATCAGAGGTGTAAACTGAAACAGAAGTATCACCCACTTCTTTTGTTTATCAATACACAAAATAGTTCTCATTTTTTACAAGATCTGGCATGTGGCTACACTTAACAGTTTTTTTAATTAAGGTTTTATTTATTTTCATTCAGAGGGGAAGGGAGGGAGAAAGGGGGAGAAACATTGATCAGCTGCCTCTTGCACCTGGTGACCTTTAGCTTTTTGGAACACCCAACCAACTGAGCCATGGTCAGGGCTTATGAGGGGACTTAAATAAATTACTCCAGAAACCATTAGCAAACTGCTCCACATTAAATTCACAGACTGTAAGGGAGATATATTTTTCATTATTCATATAACTTGTAAGAATAGGCTCAATTTTTTTTGTAGTATGACCTCGTTTAAGGTAAGTCCGTATCTTGTTCAGTTCTGGTACCTGGAAAACAAATGTTCAATCAGGAATGAATAGTAGGGGAGTGACACCTTTAGAAGGTTTCCCAGGGCCATCCTATGTTGCATAACAACAAATTCCTCAGGGGTGGGTGGAGGTGGAAAAGGGTATGAGGCGGATAAATGGTAATGGAAAAAATACAATAAAATTCCTCTTTTCCTGGAAGCCCCCCACTTTATTAACCAGGGTTTGAATACAGTTTTAGGGACTCTGTATGTAGTCATTGTCTATGTGTGGTATCTTCCCATCACTATAATGTTCAGCAGGTTGATCAAACAGGTAATTTCAATATAGTATGAGTGCCAAGAGATATATGGAAGATGCTAAGCCATGTATCTAGAGTATTAAGGATTTACAATGGGTTTACTGCAGTAGCACAATGGGAACATCCTGCCCTTCCTGTGTTGTATGCATGTCATATTGAGACATATCTTCAGTGGGAGCTGATCTGATTGTCAAAAGTTGTGGGGTTTTTTCCCCGCTGAAGTGCTAAAATTTTGTTTAGTAAGCCTTCTGCTTGGGAAGCACCTTTGCTTCTAGGTAGCTAAGCAGGGCCAGGAGGTGACAGGAAACAAATATTCAGCTTTAACTCTAAGTTTTAAAGAGGAAGGGTATAGAGAGCCATGAAATTCCATGGTTCCAGTGAAGTTAGCAGAGTGGAATACAGATTGTACACTCCATCCTAGAAAATGCCCTATAGTCTTCACATCAGAGTAAGTGATGTGCAGCACCAGGAGGCCACTGGAATTTGGTCCATGACAAAAAACTGAGGTGGCTATGTAAGGTTTTCGTATCTCTTAAAATTCTGATTCTGCTCTTCCCTTTGCTCTTGTTCAGGGCACTACAACCAGCAATGGATTAGACCTTATTCCAAACTGATTTAACCATCTCCTTCGAGCATTCCATTTCTTTGCAAAAATTCAACCTCTCCCCCATTTTCAAAATGAACATTAAAAAAAAAAAAAAAGCCCTGAAGACAAAGACTTTGAAGTAATAAAGGTAGATGGGCTTTTCTTTTTATACTTTATTAATATCCCTTGCTTTCAAAAATATAACTTTATTACAGGCATGAAGTACATTCTTTTCATGGGTCATTTAGATTAAACACCCTCTGTGGGTAGGGATCATTTTTACGTTCCTTTTGTTCCTTTCAATACCCTAGCACAATGTACTAAGTACTCATATATTTGATGGAACACGTTATATGAAGAAATGTAGTCCTGGTTGGCATAGCTCAGTGGATTGAGCACAGGCTGCGAACCAAAGCATCGCAGGTTCAATTCCCAGTCAGGGCACATGCCTGGGATGCAGGCCAAGTCCCCAGTGGGGGCCACATGAGAGGCAACCAAACATCGATGTTTCTCTCTCTTTCTCCCTCCCTTCCCCTCTGTAAATAAATAAATAAAATCTAAAAAAGAAAAAGAATTATAAAATAATAATAAAATGCATGTAAATAAATAAATGTAAAAAAAAAGAAATGTAACACTCTGGACAAGTTATAGAGTATCATCTCAGGCTTATGTGGAATTATGAAGCTTTCAACAATTACTAAATCTTTCCAAAGAAAATCTTTATACTAATTATGTCTGCCGTGTAATAAACTAAAGAGAGCCACAAATCTGACATCCTCAAAACAGCACATTAACTATTAATGTAATGACATAAATCAACTTATTTCCTTTAAAACTTCACTTAATAATTCCAAGAAGTACAACAAAACATTGAAAGCTCCCAGTCTTCACACTAAAAGTTAGACAGTCTTCTTTGATTTTTTCTTCTCTGCTTCTTCCTTTTCCTTTTCTATTGCAGTGACCTGTAATTCAATTTCTTTGGCACTGAACATCTGAAAAGAAAAAAAAATTGCAATTATACCAATAATTTCTCAATATTCACAATATGAAAGGAACCTATTTTATCTTATAAATATCTGTTTTCTATTTATAACTTTATGTCCTCAAATATATAATGGAATGCTCTAAAAGATTCAACAGCAACATATTTGTAACAGAACTCTATGACATTTCCACTATCAGTGTGCTAAAAAAGAAAGTTGCGTAAATGTGATTTGGAATTATATATCCTATATAAAATACAACTCTAAAACCACTTTAATGCAAGACTTACTCTATTCAACAGCAAATAACTCATCACTGAACTCCCTCTAGCCCCACCCTGTGTGATACCCAGATAGGGTTTTACTATTTCATCAGCTCACAGAATAGCCATGAAAGATAGGGAAAAGATGATTTACACTGCTTTATTTACAACTCCTTCACTACACACAAAGTAAAAAGTTTTTCTTTTATTTAAATCATTTTTATTGGTTTGGCCATTAAGTTCATTATGTTTTTTCCATACGATATCTCCGCAGTGCTTAGTTGTCTTTAACTTCATTTGAAACAATTTTGTTAGATTGTATTGTGACAGCCATCATATCAGCATGCATTTTTAAAAAAACATAAAAATTTGTGAATTTTAGTGCAGCCATGTTAATACTGAAGATGTAAAATACACATTTTTAACATATTATGCTTTATTATTTCAAGAAAGGTAAAAATGCAACTGAAACACCAAAAAAAGATTTGTGGACTGTATGGAGAAGGTGCTGTGACTAACTGAACGTGTCAAAAGTGGTTTGTGAAGTTTCTTGGTACTATTAACATTTTGGCCAAAGATTCTTTGCCATGGGACTGTCTCATGCATTGGAAGATGTTTGACAGCACCCCTGGCCTCTACACACTAGAAGCCAATAGTGGGAGATAGCTGACATACTCGAAATATTGAAATCAATCAAGTTATTGGTCAAAATGAAAAAATGTCTTTTATTTTACAGAAAAAACCATAGTGGACTTTTGGCCAATGCAATATTTTACTTAAAATAAAAAAAGGGAGCAAACTGCTCAAGGTCATACTGTTAAATGAACTGATCTGCTAGAACTTAAATCCAGATCTATCCAATTCCAAAGCGTGTACTCCATTCGCCACACAGCCTGTCCTGAAATATCATGTGGAAGGATAGTGTAGCTTCGCTGCCAGGACACATACTATCCTACCACCCATAAGTGAGAAACATGTATATAGCTGTGTGCGTGTGCATATGTCTATCTGGTGTATATACGCATGTGATAGGGCTGGAGAGGCAACTCTGGTCTCAGTGGTTCTTTGTCCCTGCAGTGTTGGCACACATGTACCCAGGCCCTTGGTAGCAGGCATGACAACCTGACATAGTTGCAATCTCTACATTCTGTGTTTGGCATCCTGATTATTTATGTGGGGCTGTGTAGGGGAAGATCACCCGGTCCCTATTTCTCTGATTTGCAGAAACTCAGCTGCTGCCCCATCCCCATATCCCTGTCCATTGGTTAACTAATGAAATATGGCAATGTGGTGTCACAACAACAACAAATCCCTCCTTCAGAACAAAAATGAAAACCCCACACTGCTCCACACTGCACTCACTTCACTATTTCCCTTTGAAACACTTCCCCGAAACAAAAGGTATATGTAAAATAACTTAACACACTTTTCATATAGTTTCCTATTCTTTGAGTGCTTTTGTATGCTCTCAACTGAAGAGAGCCGGTTGGCAAACTACACTGTAAAGTTCTACCTAATGAACTATATTGAACCATGTTTCAAGTGTTTTTTAGCCAATGAATCCTCTACCATAAAATTCAGAACAATTTATTGCATTGTTCTGAACAATTTATTTTGTAGTCCAGCAGTTTTAACCCATAATGGATAATAAAACATAAATAAATAATAGTGTTAGACTTGTCACAAAGAAATATGGTTTATCACACTAGCTGTTAAAATTTAAGTCTTAACAGTGGCTCAAGGCACTTTTAAGTGAAAAGTGGAAAAAACAGATAAAAACCAAGAATGGGTGGAGTTTTTTTGATATAATGAAAGATAATACTATGTTAGAAGCCTAGAAAGCCAACAAGTATATAAATGGCAGTTGAATGACACTAGCTGGAAGTATATCTTGTTTTCAGAAGAACTAAAAATACAGGAAGAGTAAGTGCCCTCCATATGGTGCCAGGAATGAATCTCCATAGGGAATATGCTATATGGATCCCATTAAGGACTGATTTAGTACATTTAGTACATGTACTTAAAAGAACATATTCTAAATGGGACTGGTCCATATCAGTACCTCTAGGTCTTCAGAGCACCTCTAGATCTTTACAAAGGGCTAGAGATGGGTAACTGCTTGCATTAAGCACACACAAATTAGTACTGGCCTACAAAAACAAAAGAGAAATTGCCACAGTGTCAATGGATGCTAAGGGATATTTAAGGATTATAATGAAGATTCACAGGTGTCAATATTTTAACTTTTGTCAAAATATACTACAGTGGTTTCTTCCTATTTGGTTAATGACTTACTTTCAATGGTTGATTTCTTCTTATTATAGCAAGTTCAATGTTTTTGCCACCAGACTGGACAACCTGATGTACAAAAAGTGCAACATTAGAATTCAAGAAACTCTGTGTTTTAATGAACAATTGAATGAGGGAAAAACTATGCTTTTCTGAATATGCTTTATAGATCACTTACTTCTAATAAAGCTCTTATTGCTAATTTGATAGCTTCATTGTCATTTGCTATAGCATCTTCTGTGTAATTCTTTTCTAGAAATTCTCGGACAGTTTTAGCACTTCGGCCTATTGCATTTGCCTAGAAAAATAGAAAATAACTCTTAACATCACTGTGATATAAAGGACATTATGGTTACTAAATGAAGTTTAAAGGTTTACAGTGTATTCTAGTACTTCTTACCATAATTGCTAAATAAAAATTGTAGGTTTGAAAACTCAGCTAACATTTCAGCAGCTCGTTTGGTCCTACATGAATAATCTGTAGTGATGGCATGAGTAATTTTTCAAATATACCAGTGCTTTATATTGGCCAATGCTTTCTATTGCTTTAATGGCTCCCAAGTTCTTCACAGACAGAGAAGATGGAAAGAGCTGTAGCTCCAAAAGATGTGGAGAGGAAAGAAGGTATGACTTTGCAATATGGTGCAAAAATAAGACAGACAAAAGGGAAAAAAAATCAACATGAAGAAAGCTGTTTACATGAATTGGACTGTACAACATTTTCTTAGAACTTAAAGTATACTAATTATTAATTCCTTAACTTCTTTGACTCTATAAGCGAGAAGGGCTTCTGCTGTTTCACTTTGCATTTTTCTATATTCTTCAGAATTTTTCATCAAATGAAGGAAAACAAACAAACAAACAAACAAACAGCAGCAAGCAAATTTCCCCAGCTGCATGGCTACAGGTGGTCTAAATTCCAGACTAGTGCTAGTGATGGTGATAAGGGTGATGATAGTAGTAATTTACATTAATCGAGCACTTGTGTTCCAGGTAGTATGTTACGCATTTTACATGAATTATCTCACCTAACCTAACCATTTCCAAAACAGTTAAGTAGGTAATATTATAAACCCTAATTCATGGATGAAGAAATGAAGGGCTGGAAAGGTTAAAATGAGTGTTCTTAACCTCAACACTTTGACTGACAAAGTGCTATTAATGTCCAGTCCTCTCATTCCAACTTGGAACAACTTTGAAGAGCCACCCCAGATCCAGAGCTTCACAAAAGGTTGATGAGGTCTTTACTGAGTCTAACTTTTCCCTCTGTCTAATCCTGTTCCCTTTCCTTCAACAAATGCTGATCCTAAAAGCACTTTCTAATACGAGGGGAGACCCCCAAAAAACAAAACAAAACTAGAATTATCTTCTGGACAGTGGGGTCCTTGTAGTACAGGCATCCCCTGCTTATGTGAGTGTTCCAGGAACCCATCTGTATCAGTGTACCAGCTGATGGTGGTGTGAGAGGCTGTGTACAGCTTCAGTGAATTTTTTCTGAAGACTCTTTCAACACATTTGCCCCTTTCACGGTTGATTTGCGAGCACACTTGCCCACTCAGCACTGAGTGTTCAGCAGATCCCGACTGAAAAAACGCATGCCTGTGCCCCACCCTCCCTACTCACCTGATCTTGCCCCAATCAACTTTTTCTTTTGTATTCTCCAGATGAAAAAGTCCTCAAAGGGAAATATTTTGCTGATTCGTTAGATAAAACAAAAAATGGCAGAAGCACTAAAAGGCATCAAAATTGATAAGTTCAAAAAGTGTGTTGAGCAGTGGAAAAAAGCATCTTGATAGGTATATTGCAACTAATGGAGAGTACTTTGAAGGTGATTGAAGTTTAAAATGGAAGAACGAATATGCAATTTTTATAAATAAATTCCATTTTTTGGGGTCCTCCTCATATACTTCCTAAAAATGGTGGTTAAACAGCCTTCAAAAGTCTTTTCAGTCCTGAGGTTCTATGTCTCTATGGCAGTATTTTCCAAGGAACACCAGAATGGAGAAAGGGCTCTAAACTGAAGTAATCTTGGGGGGTTACTGCTTGTAGAAGATATACAATGCTTTTTAGAAGATCCAGAACTTAATAAAACTCAGTAAATTTCTTTAAACAAACATCTCCCAAAACTTGAGAGCTTATTTACTTTTACCAACTAACATCAAAAGAATTACATTTTGGAAAACACTGTCTGAAGTATACAATATATCATTAACTTTGTTCCTGTTTTGAAGTACTACTAACAAGAGCAAAACATGATTCCAAAAGCTTTAACATTGTTAGTTTTGTAATACTAAGCTTTGGTCACCTGAAAAATACTGCTTCACTGAATTATAAAGATCTTTCAAATACTGACTCATTTGATTTCTGTAATAGCAAATAATTATGCTTATTAATTTCATGACGAATCTCATCAGAGAAGTCTTTACTAAGAAACTGTCAAGTTCATTGTGACAAATAGATGTTTTCCAAAATTTTAATTTTTGTTTGAAAGTTTGGCTATTATCACTGGCTACAAATACTATCAGTTGTTTCCTTAAAGTAAAAGGCTTGGATCATTCCTTCTTTTTTTAAAAATGTATTTACTTATTTAATTTTAGAGAGAGAGAAAAGGAAGAGATATTGATTTTGTTGTTCTACCCATTAATGCATTCACTGGTTGCCTCTTGTATATGCCCTGACCAGCGATTGTACCAGCAACCTTACCTTATTGGGAAGATACTAACTAACTGAGTTACCTTGCCAGGGTGTATCATTCATTCTTGAGAAGATATCCCGCCAAATTTCCAAGTCTGAATAACCACAGTTATTCTATCTGTTGTTCAAAATGGGCTGGTTCAGCTTGCAACTCAACCAACTGCATAACTGTTTTTCTTCAAAACTACCACTGCACCTGCAGCAGATGTGCTTTAATAAAGCACACTTCTAGTATATAACACAGAATATTAAAATGTGCATACTTAAGAATGGAGTTTTTAAATAATATTTAAAAAACTGAGATATAATTGACATATAACATATTAGTTTTGGGTATACAATATAATGGTTCAATATTTGTATACATTGTGAAATGACCACCATGATATGTCTGGTTAACATTCATCATCACACAGATTTAGATTTTCTTCTTGTGATAAGAAAAAAGATTGAGATTCAATAAAATTAATAATTTGTACTGTTTCATTAAAGACAATTATGCAAAAGTTGAATTTATTTACTACAAATGCATAATGGTAAAGAATACAATGAATACTGATATAGGTGGGTGGATCTGAAGACTACATTTTGAGATCTGCTGCTTTATACTATGGCTATGTCCTGTAAGCTTATAAGGCCAAGAAACTCCTACACAATATAGATTCCACATAACCTACCTATAAGTTTCTAACATTGTATCTTTTTACATTAAAATAATCTGGGAAAAATCCCTGTCCTAATATAGTCAAGGATTATGATTGGATGGCTCCTTGTTATTTAGTTTCAGTTCAGTGAGTGTCACTTCCTTGGAGAAATGTTCCTCTGTAGAAAATCAAAGTCAGCTCCCTCTTGTGCTCTAGGACATAGTCCAACACTTCGGTTTCATCATTACACTTACCTCTACCTAATGTCAAACTAAACAAAGAAAATTGTAAGTTGCAGAGTGATATACATAATACTGATTATATAAAATTTTAAAATATGCAAAACAGTGCCTATTATTTACGGATACTTCCATGTGCAGTGAAAGTGTAAAGTTATGCATAGAAAAGTAAACATCAAATTTAGGAAAGCAGTTTTCTGCAGCAGGTAGGAGGAGATCTAGTAGGAGGGGAATGAGATAAGGAGGATACATAGGAAGTTTCTCTAACATTCAAGCTGGCTGGTGGTTACAGGAGTGCTTTAAACATTATTTTCATTAGTCTGTAATATTTCACTTAAAAAGTGATTTGAAGCAAATATGGTAAAGTGTTAACACCTATTTAAACTTGATGAATGCATTTTTAAATTTTGTAATCTTAGGTATATGTCTGAAATGTTCCATTAAAAACAATTATTTATTTGAAAGCTAAACCTTGAAACTGTCTATGCTTCTCCCTAACTACTTTCACGACTTGTATCTATTGACGGTCTTTGCTCTTACATGTTTCCACTTTCCTACACATTATCAAAATTTCCCTCTTCACTATATCATTTTCATAAATCTATACATATTCTAAAACATTTCAGTTATTCTTACTCCTTTCTCCTTTCTTTCACACCGTAGATCCATCAAGAAAGCCTCACACCACTCCTCATTTAGCAAAATGAAACTGAAATCTAACCACTTCTCACCATTTCTAGCACTTCCACCTGCCTCAAATTACTTGAATTTTTATTATATTACCTACATCCATCCGTGCCCTCTCTCCATGAATTTTTCTCATGGTAGCCAGAAGGATCATTTTTTAAAAAGTTACTTAATGTTTTTGTTTTGCTAACACTGACATCTGTTCCTGCTCAGAGTAAAATTCATAATATGACAAAAAAGTCTGATATTTGCAGCAGGTAAATTCATAGCTTCTGATTACCAATAAGATTGTCTAGGTATCTTAAAAGAAGATGTACAGCTAACATGAGTATTCAGATCTTTATGGTAAGAATATAGTCCACTGTTTTTGCTGGTTTGGTTACTTGGTTTATAAAACTGTATGAGGACTGCTCAAATCAAATACTTTAGTTAATATAAACTTAAAAATCAAGGCAATTATTTTCCAATTAATTTATATGCTTACTAAAAATAGTAAAATAAACTCTTCCTAAACCTATTTTAAGGCTTAAGTATTTAAACTTTTAATAGAGTCAAAATCACTTAGATTCTATAATGTAGTCTTATTCTTATATATGAGAATATAAAAAAATTCACTTCTGAAAACTGCCACTTCTTTCGTTAGGTCCTAGATTCTTGTGATATTAAACAAAGTTATTAGTTGAGGACTGAAACAAGAATAATGACTTAACCAAAAAACAAACTATATCCCAGGAACTATATGGAGGTAATTGCAATGTACTGACACATAAGAATAAATTCACAGTTTGTGGTGCTTTGACTCTCCTAGAATAGAGGATGTATTAAAGATTTCAGTATGGAGTTTATAAGCTCACTTAATTCTTTGTTAAAAGCTGAAAGATTACATACTTCTTCTATTCAAAGCAAGCAACAATATGATACAGCACTAATTTGGAAGAATGAATGATGAACAAGGAACTGGATATTTCTTTTAGTTGGCCATTTGTATACACTTAGGTTTGTCACATCTTTTCAAATGTAAGGAGAAGGCCCTGTGATTAATGAGCCAAAGTATTCAATATTTCTTTATCTGCCCAAAACCATCATAATTGCTGACTAGCTAAATGGTTACATAAAGTTTCTACTACTATCAATATTTTAACAGTTTTGTCATGTCCTTGAAAGTGATAAAGCATTTACAGTGAATACATTTATTCAACTTTTAAAAATGTATTAAAAAATTCATGATTCACCTTCCAAGCATGATAAGTACCAGAGGGGTCGGTCTGATACAATCTTGGGATACCGTCATCATCAAAACCCACAATTAAGGCAGAAATACCAAAAGGTCTTCGTCCATTGCTCTGAGTATATTTCTGAAAAATAAAATGTTTTCATAATTACTTTCTGTATAGGCCATACAAAGACCATATTATTATTTATCAAGTAACAAATTCTAATAGTAAAGTATTCTTGCCAAAGTGATCTTTACTGATTCTTAGTCTATATATCATTTGGATCCTCTTCCTTGACTTTCTGGACTAACCTCAAATCCATGATGAAATTACAAAAAAAATTACTGTACATAGTCTATAAAATAAAATTCTAAGTTTACTGATATATGCTCTTAAAGTTCTTTTCTTGTTTTATACAGATTTTAGTAACATAAACAGATTACAATCTTTTTAATACAGTAGAGAACTGTATATGTCACACCATTTTGGTTGCCAGTAAAGCTGATTTTAGCGAACTATACTTTGGAATCATGCCATGGTTTACTTTGGAAGACACTACAATTATTATTACTATCAAATATTCTTACTATTATCATCAAGTATATTCTGTCTACAATATACTAAGTTATCTCTATATAAAACCCAAATAAAACATTTCTTTCAGTTCAAAAACAAGGAAATCTTTGTTTCCCTTGAAGAAAAAGTATGTTTTCCCCTCACAGAAAACAGGGCACTGGAAACCAATTGTATTTTTCAGTTCAGTGCCAGGAACTTCCTGGACTTGTGCTCCAGAGAGTGGAATTCACACTAATCCTGAGGCTGGTGCTGCTAGAAGCTGTGCAGTGGCAGTTCTGACAGAAGCTCAAGACCACATTTTTAGGCAGCTTTAGAAATTGTATGTGTATAACTTTGTGGCTCGAAATAGGTTTATACCACACTTTCTTCCTGGACTTGTCTATGTATTATATCTTTTTTATTTTTACATTTCATTATATATGTATTTTAATAAGCCACTTCAAATTATAGATGCAAATAACTGGGTTACACAAACATAAATAAACTCTTAAAAAATAAAGAGTTTATGTTTTAATTTCTATGTATCTCCTAATGTTCCTACATCATACCAAAATATGAAGAAGATGCTTTGTAAATATGCCTTAGAGGACAGACTCTTTTAGTTTATTTGCTTAATCAACCATTTTTTTAAAAAATAAAAAGTAATACATGCACATGGTTAAAGTAATTTAAAAGTACCAAAAGTGTATCTAAAAGTATATAACTTTTTTGCCCAGAACTCAGGACCCTCCCCAGTGGCAACTTCACTGTTACAGTTTTAAAATGTCTATTTTTGTAAATGTTCTCTATGCATAAACTTTATATTTCTAGAAGAAAACCTAAAAATTACAATTGGGAATCTTGTATACACAATGTTCTACACCTTATTTTTTACTGGATAGCTTTATAACCTCTGGGAAAATCAAAGCAAATTAAAAAAAAAAGCAGAAAAATATAAAAATGTTGGACTTCCCAGCTCCATAAATTAAACTTAGAGAATAGACCAATTTTTAAATGAGTATATAATTTACAACTTTAATATATAGAATATATGGTGGATAAAATTATCTCTACATGGACAAATGGTAAAATCCATGCCAGGAAGTGTTCTAAATGTTTAAAATGTATTAAATCACTTAATCCAACTCAACAGAGTAGGTATTACTGTAATGCTCACTTTATAAATAAGAAAATTGAGGCAAAATGGGCTAAGTAGTTTGCCCAAAGGATTAATGGGAAGTAGCAGAGCTGGGATTCAAATCCCAAAATTCTGGTTCCTGAGGACACATTCTTAACCACTGGAGGGCATATTATCTAAAGGGAAAATAGTTTATTTTAGGACAAATAAAAATTCACTGATAAGTGAAAAAAATAAACTTTACCACTAATTATAAAATATAATTTAAAACAACTATACAAGCACCACGTTGTGCTTATTTTCAAAATAAAATAAAAATTAAAAAAAACAATGCTGATGATCCTTCAGGGGTATAATTATGCATTGTTGGTTGCACAATAAAAATTGGTTCAATCTTTTTAGAAAGTAATTTAGCTATATATAACAAGAGTCTTAAAACCCATTATAATCTCTAATCTAGTAATTCCATACTGAAAATTAATTTAACAATATAATTCAAAAAAGAAAAATAAAAGCTATTTCAAAGATAGAGTAATGTTATCAAAGTAGCAATTTGAGAGCCATTGAGCCAGATAGAGGGAATAAGAAAATGAAAGAAACTAGAAACAACCTAAAGAATTACTGATAGCAACTAAAAACAAGAGGTTCCGGCCAAGATGGAGGCATAGGTAGAAATGCTTTACTTCTTTGCACAATGTAAAGAAGGATAATAACCAATTTAAAAACAATAAATAACCAGAGGTGACAGAAAATCAAATTGTATGGAACTCTGACAACCAAGGAGAAGAAACATTCACCCAGACTAGTAGGAGGGGAGGAGATGGGAGACGGGCAGCTGAGTGGACAGGACCCACAAAAAGCAGTGGACCATGCTGGTGAGGTGGGGCTGGCTGAATAGGAAACTAAAGACTCAAACCTGTAAAGTACTGTGGGGACTGCAACAGCAGACAAAGCTTCCAGTCTCTCAGGAGCATTCAATGGAAAGTGGGGCCAAAGTGGAGAAAGCCAGCGGCACTGTCCCCTCTATGGCCCCTTCCTCACAGACAGTGCCACAACGCAGCTAAGAGGGTTGCCCCACCATGGTGAATACTTAAGGCTGTGCCCCCTTACAACATAACAGGTGTGCCTAGACAAAAAAAATATGGCTCAAATGAAAGGACAGAGCAAAACTCCAGAAAAAGAGCTAAGTGATAAGGAGATAGCCAACCTATCTGATGCAGAGTTCAAAACACTGGTAATCAGGATGCTCACAGAACTGATTGAGCTAGGTCGCAAAGTGAAGGAAAAAGTGAGGGACTATACAAAGTGAAATAAAAGAAAATGTACAGGGAACCAACAATGAAGGGAAGGGAACTGGGACACAAATCAACAATTTGGAATAAAAGCAAGAAATAAACATCCAACTGGAACAGAATGAAGAAACAAGAATTCAAAAAAATAAGGAGAGCCTTAAGAACCTATGGGACAACTTTAAGAACTCCAACATTTGAATCATAGAGTGCCAGAAGGAGAAGGACAAGAGCAAGAAATTGAAAACTTATTTGAACAAAAAATGAAGAAAAACCTCTCCAGTCTGGCAAAGGAAATAGACTTCCAGGAAGTCCAGGAAGCCTAGAGAATCCCAAAGAAATTAGACCCAAGGAAGAACACACCCAGGCACATCATCATTAAGTTACCCAAGATTAAACATAAGAAGAGAATCTTAAAAGCAGCAAGAGAAAAGGAGATAGTTAACTACAAAGGATTTCCCATAAGACTATCAGCTGATTTCTCAAAAGAAACCTTATAGACAAGAGGGGGCTTGAAATAAGTATTCAAAGTCATGAAAGGCAAGGGTCTACATCCAAGATTAGTCTATCCAGCAAAGCTATCATTTAGAATGGAAGGGCAGATAAAGTGCTTCCTAGATAAAGTAACGGAGTTTATCATTATTAAGCCCTTATTTTTTAAAAAAGATTTTATTTATTTATTTTTAGAGAGAGGAGGGGAGGGAGAAAGAGAGAGAAACATTAATGTGTGATTGCCTCTCATGCACCCTCTACTGGGGACTTGGCCTGCCACCCAAGCATGCGCACTGACTGGGATTTGAACCTACAACTCTTCGGTTTGCAGGCCAGTGTTCAATCCACCCAGCCACAATAGCCAGGAGACCTAGCCCTTATTATATGAAATGTTAAAGGGACTTATCTAAGAAATATTAGAAGATCAAACTCTATGAACAGTAAAATGACAACAAACTCAAACTATCAACTGAACCTAAAAAACAAAAACAAAAACTAAGCAAACAACTAGAACAGGAATAGAACTAGAGAAATGGAGATTATGTGGAGAGTTTTCAGTGGGGGGGGGGAGGGGCAGAATGCGGGGGAAGGTACAGGGAATAAGTAGCATAATTGGTAGGCATAAAATAGATGGGGCGGAGAGTTAAGAATAGTATAGAAAATAGAGAAGCTAGAGAACTTATATGTACCACCCATGGACATGAACTAAGGGGGGATAATGCTGGAGTGTGTGTGTGGGGGTACAGGGTGGAGGAAGGATAAAGGGGAGACAAAATTGGGACGACTGTAATAGCATAATCAAACTATACTTAAAAAAAGAATTACTGATAGCAACTAAAAACAATATTATAGGCATACATCTGAGATATTGCAAGTTGGGTTCCAGAGCACCACAATAAAGAGAATTTATCACAATAAAGCAAGTCATAATCTTTTTGCTTAAGAGTCTTATTTTCAATTTGTAATAAATGCAACATCCATGAAGTGCAATAATGTGAAGCACAATAGGAGGAGGCCTGTCTATATTTAGTTATATAAGGACTATATTGGCACATATAAAAAGTACATAACACAATAAGTGAAAAAACACTTGTATATATCATGACTATACTTATGTTAATGTACTTACTCAGGAATTCAGAAGTCATACCTGAACCTGATTAGTTGTGTTTAGGTTTGTTGGTGAAAGAATCATAGGTACTGCTTTGGTAAACTCTAAAAAATGGTTCTCATTACTTTATCTCCAGAAGTGAAGAAATACCCTTAAAATATTTGATTTCTTGCTCTTTGAAATTTTAATATAATTCTCAGAACTGATACTGATTGGGATGCCTAGTGATCAAGTCAATTCATTCCACTGGAGTAAGAGTGTGAATAGGAAATTTGAGAAAGAATAAGGAATCTGGTAGATTTAACAGACTAAATGAAGTATTTTCATGACTAGACCCATAATGATAAAGGAGGAAATTTAAAGCAATTTGTTGCTATATTTATTGGCTTACCTGTTTTAAGGTTGCTATGAAGCGAGTTATATATTCTACAGTGACTGGGTCCTCAACTGTAAGCTTATGGCTCTGACACTCCACGCGGGCTCTGTTTATCACTACTCTAGCATCAGCAGTCAGTCCTATAGAAGTAGTTGATACATTAAAAAAAAGAATGACTTCTTTCATTGTCACAAGCAGTTTAGCTACCATAAAACCTTTCTTATGATGTCCTTTGTTTTTTTAATGTGCATCCATTATAAAGACTTTGTAAAATTCACTCATTTGACATTCTATTTCCTTCAGGCCTTAATTTGATGCATTCTGATTTACTTTTTAAAGAAAATGGTTTTGAAGAACAATGGTTAAACCCTAATGTTAAGTAAACTATTTCCCAAAGATTAAAATGGTTTCATTCACAATAGCTAGGCTGGTTATTTGGGTTTATTAAGTATTTTTTAAAAAATCTCTGTAGTCATATTTTTAAAAACTTTTTTTGGGGAAGACAGCAATGGAAGATAGTTCAAAGGTGGATGGTTTATCTTGGTTCCCAAACCAATATACTTATTACCTAAACCACAGAGTAAGCTGCATTTATTATTATGAAAACAATGAATATTACACTTCATTATCAAACACATATTCATTGAATTCAAACTTCATTCAATATAACTGTGAAATATCTCTTCTTAGCTTTTTGTCTAAGATTAAGGATTTGAAAATCAAAAATGTTACAAAAGAAAAAAGAAAACACCTTGCTTTACTTTTGTCATGCCAAAAACATCATGTAATTAATTCCTAACACTTCTGTAAGGAAATCAAATGTTTCAGTTAAAGAAATAATGAAGTGAGCAAAAAGTTAAACAGGTGCAATGGATGCAAACATTTCTATTATATTAAAGACTTCTTTGCCATTTGACCTTTCCAAGGCCATTTTGTTTCCTTCCCCAGGCTGTTAAAATCACTTTTCCCAAAAAGTCATTCCCAAAGTCTTTGAAACATTCATTTCTTACATAACCATCAGTATTTTGCAGTTACAAACTCTTGTTCTCCTACCATATCATTTCAAATCTTGTTTCTAGAAATCTGAAAGAATTGCTAGTCTCTGAAGATGGTTAATAGCAGTCAACAATGAAGAAGCTGTCAGAATATGCCACTATTAAGAATCACAATCACCCCTGGCTGGCGTAGCTCAGTGGATTGAGTGCAGGCTGCAAACCAAAGTGTCGCAGGTTTGATTCCCAGCCAGGGCACATGACTGGGTTGCAGGCCACAGCCCCCAGCAACCGCACACTGATGTTTCTCTCTCTCTCTTTCTCCCACCCTTCCCTCTCTAAAAATAAATAAATAAATAAAATCTTAAAAAAGAAAAGAATCACAATCAGATAGTTAAGGGGAGAGAAACTGATTCTCTTCTTTTTGCACATGTTATCTGAGATAAAGAAGTGGAATGAGATTGATTTAGTTTATCCTATAAATTAAAAGCTTCACTCATTTAGAAAATATGATCAGAAAGGAGATTTCTAAGTATTTTCCATTTATAATGTAAATATGATATAAAAGTAGAGAAACATAAATATATCAGACTTAGAAAGTAGTTCTATAATTGATTCAGAGGAAAAAATTTCTTTCATTAGGAAAAAAATTAGTGATAAATTTGCCAAACCATATGAATAACATGTGTGTGTGTGTCTGCTTTTAACATAGTAAGTGGCAATTATGCTAATCAATACTAAATGGCTAGGAAAAAGAGAACAAATTCTATTTAAAAATAGCAATGAATATTGTAATTTCACTTTGTTTATAAATAAGCAAATACAGAAGAAATGAGTCCTCAGTCTAGTGCTCTTAAATTTATACCACAGCTTTATCTGAAGATATCACAATGTAAAATTTCTATTATTAAATGGAATTCCACCTGCTACATGAAATAATTTCTTTTCAGATTCTTTGATTTTTTTTTCTCCTAAGGGCTGTTTTCTGAACATCAAAAGCACAATATAACAATACCAGCAAAAGAATGTATTTTTTTTTCAAAGTGGAACTTTATGTCTTTCTGATATGTGCTCATTCTAAACTATTCCAACAGAAGGAATAAGAGGTAACATATAATTTCACAATGTATAAATAGAATTGTATCATACACATTTTTTGTAGCCTACTATTTTAAATATATATTATGGATACTTTCTCATGCCAATACATCCTTCTTTTTAAATTGCCACTAAATAATAACAATAATAACAATGATGTAGTAGTAGTGGTAATAGTAATATTTGTTAAACACTCACATATGCCTGACATTGTTCTAAATACTTCTTATGTATTAACTCAATCCTTGTAACAAGTAGACATTATCAGATGACTAAACTGGTACAAGGAACAGTTATATACTGTAGGGAACTGCTTCACATGGTGTGGAAATGTAGCTCAGCCTCCATGTGGAAAACCAGTGTGGAGCAAGTGGCACGCAGGATCATGCCCATGGAGAGGTTTTCCCACGGGGAACCAGGCCTGCATTGTACCCTGACTGCTATGAGACTTGCTTTTGCTAAAACTCCCTCACCCTGAATTGAGGCAGCAAGTGCTTACTGCAACTTCCTAAAATCTGAGCTAAACCTCCCAAGTATGGAGTATGACCGGTTCAACTACTTTTCCCCTTGGTCTGCAACATCCTTCTCTTTGAAGTAATTAGCAACATTCTTCCCTTAGTTATCTGTAAAAGTTAATCACTTATAGCAAACCTGTGCATAGTAAATGAGGACTACCCTCCATGTAATGTACCCAGAAAAACAAGAAAAGCCTGTCCAGGCAGGGGCTGGGGCCCTCCTTCCCTCTCCAGAGAGTGGCCATGCCATCCCTTTTTCTTCACAGGACTTCTGTTGTCTGTGTGTATTTGTTCACTAGCAGCCACAACATACACGGATCCTGCTGGCCAGGATCCGCATCAATATACCTTGCCCACAGTCACAGGAGTAGTGGACAATGGAGTCTGGTGTAGAATTCAGTTGGTATGATTCTCAAACCTGTATTTTTAAGCAATTGCTTAGATATAGCATGATTTATTACACCAATTCTCCAATAATATACATGTAGGTATTTTCTAATTTCAAAAATCAATTGACAAGTGAGGAAAATATTAGTGAATGATTATTTTACTCTCCAAAAAAGTTATATACACATTAAAATTATTTTTACATTAAGGTTAGAAAGATATGTTTACCAAAATTATCATTCATCCCATCATTTATATTAAGATGGTTTCTTTAACAAAATCGACAAGCCTTTAAGGAGACTCATTAAGAAAAAAGAGAGAACCAAAATAAACACAATCAGAAATGAAAGAGGAGAGATTACAAGTGACACCACAGAAATACAAAGGATTGTAAGAAATTACTACAAAGAACTATATGCTAAGAAATTTGAAAACCTAGGTGAAATGGACAAATTTCTAGAAAAATATAATTTCCAAAACTGAATGAAGAAGCAGAAAGCCTGAACAGACCAGTAACAGCTGATGACATTGAAGCAGTAATCAAAAAACTCCCAACACACAAAAGCCCTGGACCAGATGGTTTCACAGAAGAATTCTACAAAGCATTTAAGGAAGAGCTAACCCCTATCCTTCACAGACTATTCCAAAGAATCCAGAAAGATGGAAGACTCCCAAACTCTTTTTATGAAGCCAGCATCATCCTAATCCCAAAACCAGATAAAGACACGACAAAGAAAGAAAACTTCAGGCCAATATCGCTGATGAACATAGATGCTAAAATCCTCAACAAAATATTGGCAAACTACATCCAGCAAAATGTTAAAAAGATCATACACCTTAGTGGGATTCATCCTAGGGATGCAAGGATGGTACAATATTCACAAATCAGTAAATGTAATACATCGCATAAACAGAACGAAAGACAAAAGTCACATGATCATATCAATAGATGGGGGAAAAACATATGATAAGGTACAGCACCCATTTATGATAAAAACACTCAGCAAAGTATGAACATGTAGAGGGAGTATTCCTCAACACAATAAAGGCCATATACAAGAAACCTACAGCCAACATTGTAATCAATGGGTAAAAACTTAAAGCTTTCCCACTAAGATCAGGAACAAGACAAGGATGTCTGCTTTTACCACTCCTATATGACATAGTATTGGAAGTCCTAGCTACAGCAATCAGACAAGAAACAGAAATAAAAAGCATCCAAATTGGAAAGGAGGAAACAAAACTGTCATTGTTTGCAGATGACATGATAGTGTACACAGAAAATCCTATAGACTCCACCAAAACAGTACTCAACCTAATAAGTGAATTTGGCAAAACAGAGGGATACAAAGTCAGTATTCAGAAATCAAAGGCATTTTTGTACAAGAAAAATGAAATATCAGAAACAGAAATCAGGAAAAAAAAATCCCATTTGATATAGCAACAAGAAAAATAAAGTACCTAGGAATAAACCTAACCAAGGATGTAGAAGACCTGTACTCAGAAAACTACACAACACTGAAGAAAGAAATTACAGAAAACACAAACACATGGAAGCATATTCCATGTTCATGGATTGGAAGAATTAATATCATCAAAATGTCCATAATACCCAAAGCAATTTACAGATTCAATGCAATCCCTATTAAAGTACTAGTGACATATTTCACAGATATAGAACAAAATTTCAGAAATTTATAAGGAACCATAAATGATCCTGAATAGCTGCAGCAATTTTGAGAAGGAGAACAAAGTAGGAGAGATCACAATACCTTATATCAAACTGTATTACAAGGCCACTGTAATCAAAATAGTATGGTACTGGTACAAGAACAGACACATAGAACAAGTGGAACAGAACAGAGAGTCCAGAAATAAACCCAAATCTCTATGGTCAATTAATATTTGACAAAGGGGGAAGATACATAAAATGGAGTAAAAAGTCTCTTCAACAAATGGTTTTGGGAGATCTGGACAACTACATGCAAAAAAATAAAACCTGATCACCAACTTCCACCATACACAACAATAAATTCAAGGTGGATATAAGACTTAAATATAAGTCATGACACCATAAAAGTCCTAGAGGAAAACATAGGCAGGAAAGTCTCAGACATTCCATGCAGCAATATTTTCACTGATATATCCCTTAGAGCAAGGGACATAAAAGAAAGAATAAACAAATGGGACCTTATCAAATTAAAAAGCTTCTGCATGGCTAAAGCAAGCAGTATTAAAATGAAAAGAGAACCAACTATATGGGAAAACATATTTGCCAATGATACCTCAGACAAGGGTTAATCTCCAAAATATATAAAGAACTAACACAACTCCACTCCAGGAAGGCAAACAACCCAATAAAAAAAATGGGCAAAAGACTTGAACAGACCCTTTTCCACAAAGGACATACAGAGGGCCCAGAGACAATATGAAAAGATGCTCAGCTTCACTAGCTGTCAGAGAGATGCAAATTAAAACCACAATGAGATACCACTTTACACAGGTGAGAATGGCCAACATACACAAATCAACAAGCAAGTGTTGGAGAGGATGTGAAGAAAAGGGAACGCTAGTGCACTGTTAGTGGGAATGGAGACTGGTGCAGCCACTGTGGAAAACACTATGGAATTTCCTCAGAAAACTAAAAATGGATCTTCCTTTTGACCTGGCAATTCCATGGTTGCTGGGATTATATCCCAAGAACCCTGAAACACCAATACAAAAGAACCTTTGCTCCCCAATGTCCATAGCAGAACAATTTATAATAGCTAAGTGCTGGAAGCAACCTAGGTGTCCATCAGTAAATGAATGGATCAAAAAACTATGGTACATTTACACAATGGAATTCTATGCAGCAGAAAGAAAGAAGGAGCTCCTACCCTTTGAAACAGCATGGATGGAACTGGAGAGAATTATGCTAAATAAGCCAGGTGGTGAGGAACAAATACCACATGATCTCACCTTTAAGAGGAACCTGGTTGACAAAACAAACAAGCAGGCAAAATATAACCAGAGACATGGAAATTAAGAACAATCTGACAGTAACCAGAGGGGAGGTGGGAGGGGACAATGGGGGGAAAGGTTTTCAGGAACAACTATAAAGGACACATGGACAAAACCAAAGGCAGGGTGGAAGCAGAGGAGGGAGGTGGGATGGCTGTGGTGGGGGATAAATGCAGACAACTGTAATTGAACAATAAAATAATTTTTTAAAAAGATGGTTTCTTTAAAAATATTTTCCTTTTATTGTAGTAAATATATATAAAATTTACCATTTTAACCATGCTTAAGGGTACAGGTCAGTAGAATCAAGTACAGTTACACTGTTGGGCATTTATCACCATCCATTTCTAGGACTTTATCTTCCCAAACTGAAACTCTGTGTTCTATATTCTGTATCTATGAATCTGACTCTAGGTATTTCATATACTGTAATTGTAATCATATAGTAATTGTCCCACTGTGAGTGTTCATTTCACTTAGTATAATGTCTTAAAAGTGGACATCCTTGACTTAGTCCTAATCTTAGAGTAAAGCTTTCAGTGTTTCATCATGGTATATGATATTCACTGCAGATTTTTCCAATGTGGACTTAATTATGTTGAGGTAATTTTCTTCTACTTCTAATTTTTTGAGTGTTTCTATTAAGAAAGGTGCTGAATTTTGTCAAACTTGTTTCTCTCCATCAGTTGAGATGATCGTGTAGCTTTCTCTGTTGTTCTGTTAATGTGGTATATTACATTGATTGATTTTCATATGTTGAATAATTGTTGCACTCCAGGAATAAATGCCTGTTAGTCCCTTTAATCCCTGTTAGTCTGTTTATTAATCCCTTTAATAGTTGCTAAACTTTGGTTTGCTATTTTGTTGAGGATATTTACATCAATATTTACAAAGGATATTAGGCTACAGTTTTTTCTTGTAGTGTCTTTGTCTAGCTTTGGCATCAGGATAATGCTGACCTCACACAATGAGTTTGGAAGTGTCCTTTGATTTTTTGCAAGCATTTGAGAAGGACTGGTATTAATTATTCAAATGTTTGGTAGAATTCACCAGTGAAAACATCTGATTCTGGACTTTTCTTATTGAGAGGTTTTTGATTACTGATTTACTCCTTACTTACTAAACATCTGTTGAGATTTTCTATTTCTTCTTGATGAACTTGAAGTAATTTGTATGTTTCAAGGAAATTGTCCATTTCTGCTAAGTTATCTCATTTATTAGCATGTGATTGTTCACAGTGCTCTTATAATCCTTTTTATTTCTGTGAAATCATTAGTAGCATCTTCTTTTTCATTTCTGATTTTAGTTTAGTTTTTTATTCTTAGTCCATTTGACTAAAGGTTTGTCAGTTTTGTTAATCTTTTCAAAGAATCAACTCTTGGATTTGCTGCTTTTTCTATTGTTTTTCTATTTTGTATTTTATATATCATTGCTCCAATCTTTACTATCTCCATCCTTCTGCTAGTTTTAGGTTGTTTGTTCTCTTTTTCTATTTCTTAAGATATATACAATGGAGTATTATGCAGAAAGAAGGAACTCCTACCCTTTGTGACAGCATGGATGAAACTAGAGAGCATAGTGCTAAGTGAAATGAGCCAAACAGCTAAACACAAATACCATATGATCTTACCTATAACAGGAACCTAATGAACAAAAGAAATGAGCAAAATAGAACCAGTGGCATGAAAACAAGGAACAAATTGATAGGGACCAGAGGGAAAGGGAGAGGGGAATAAGGAAGGAAAGAATGGGAAGGGTTTAGTTAACAAACAAGTATAAATGACCCATGGACATGGACAACAGCGTAGGGATTGACTGTGGGAGTAGGGAGGGGGGAGTGGGCAGGGCAGGGGAGAACAACAAGGGAAAATTGGGACAACTGTAATAGAACAACAATTTAAAAAAGATGTAAAATTAGGTTGTTGAAGTCTTCTTTTTTAATGTAAGCATTTATAGCGATAAAATTGCCTTTTAACACTGCTTTTGCTGTATCCCATATGTTGTGTATGTTATCATTTTCATTTATCTCAAGAAATGTTCTCATTTCTCTTGTAATTTTTTTCTTTGATCCATGGGTTTTTAAGTATTGTTTAATTTCCATGTATCTGTGGATAGTTTTCCTTCTGTTGTTCATTTCCAGTTTTATTCCTTTTGGACAGAAATGGTACTTTTTATGATTTCAATTGTTTTTTCTTTTTGTCTTCTCATAATGCCAGGTTTATTAAGGGGACATTTCCCCAATAAGCCTATAGAATCATATGCAGGTCACACACGGAGAAGGGGAGCTTACGCGATGGAAGGAAACAAAGCAAGCATCCAGGTGAAGTCTGGATCTCTGATGGAGTCCGCGGATGAAGAGGCAAGTGTGGGTCTCAAGTCAGGAGCCCATGGGTCAGTGGCATCACGGGTGTGGTGGAATGGAAGTCCCACAGGGCTCCCAGTGTCATCCTAGGTACAGACAAGTCTGAGCATTGGGTGGCGGGAGCTCTGAGTTCTTATTCAATCTTTTCAACTTTAAGACTTGTTTTATGTCAAGAAAACTTTTTTAAAACAGAAAGGTTGTTTTTTGCTAAATAAGGTTTTTAAATTTCAATATAAAATTATGACTTGAAACAAACAAAAAGAATTTTTTAAAAAATCATGCTCTTCCCCCTGGGACATGCCTGTGTCCTTCTCTTGCCCCTTTTCTTCCCTCTCAGGTGCCCATCTCCTAAACCCTAAAGAACCCAGGAGACTTGCAACCAAGGGAACAATAGGCAGCAGCAGCTCATCTAGGCTAAGGCCCTGGAGCTGTCTCCAAGGCCCCCTTTTGTCTGACTTCTCAGTGAGCCAGAGCAGCCCTATCTTGGCTCTCTCCTGTAGCTACTTCTATTCTAAGTCTTTCCTTGTTTCACTGTCCTCAGCTTTAACAAACATATTCTCAAAAAAAAGAGAGAGAGAGAGAGAGAAAAATCCCCAACATGAAACATGTCTTATTTTCTATACAGATGCAAATAAGCACATGAAAATATGTTCAACATCATTAGCCATGAGGCAAATGCAAATTAATCCCCCAATTAGATATCACTACACACCTATATAAATGTCTAAAATAAAAAACAGTAACAACACCAAATGCTGCTGAGGATGCAGAGAAAAATGAATCACTCATACACTGCTAGGGGAATGTAAAATAGTATGGACACTCTGGAAAACAATATGGCAGTTTTTTACATAATAAAGCATGTATTATCATATGACCCAGCAATTTTACTCTTGAGCATTTATCCCAGAACAATGAAACCTGTGTTCAGATTTTTTACACAGAAAACCTGTACATAAAAGTCTATTCCAACTTTATTTGTAGTAGGCAAAAGCTGGAAACATGCATTTTTCCTTTATTTCATTGTAAAGTGTGGTACATTCATACTATGGCACACTATTCAGCAATAAACAGTAACAGACTATTGATATACGCAACAACTTGGATAAATTGCAATGGAATTATGCTAATGAAAAAGGCAATATTAAAAGGTTATATACCATTTGATCTATTCACATAGCATCCTCAAAAATGACAAAATTATAGAGATGGAAAAGAGATTACTGGTTGCCAGAGGTTAAAGATATAGAAGAGAAATAGCATGGGTAGCCTCGTGGTAACGGAAGAGTTGTGTATCTTGATTGTGGTGATGGCTCCATGAATCTAATAAAACTATACACACATGCAAATGTGTGCATATAAAACTGGTGAAATCTCAAAAAAAAATCTGTGGCTTGTGACAATGTCAATTTACTGGTGTTTAAAGAAGTTACCAATGGAGTAAACTGGGTAAAAGATGAAGAAACCAACTTTATGGGTTTTTTTTGTAATTTCTTGGTCTTAATTTATTTCAAAATTAAAAATTAAAAAGGAAACAGCTACCTAAAATTACAATTAAGATAATAAAATGGGTACCTTCTGATGTTTATGTCTTTCAGAAATCCTGGTTTACAGAGTTATGATTTTCCAGAAAAAACAGGGTATAATATATTGTTTGTGTTTAATAAGAAATGGAGTGTAACTCCACATGTTGTATAAATATAGCACCACAACAACTGTAGTGGGTCCAGATGTGTTACCCTACCACACTAAGACACTCTCCATCATTATTGTAGGTCCCTAAGTACCTGCAAAAGCCATGCAGACGTGGTCGTCGAGAGCACAAATCTTCCTCACAGTTCTTTCATCTTGAAGCTTGGCAACAGATTTTTTTTCCACCCCAAGTACAACTATATTGGTACCACGAATTCCAACCTGAAAAGTTCATTTTAAAAAATAAAATTAGTTGTCAGTTTCAACATTAAATCAATTATTATAAAACATGATTTATAGGAAGACGCTTTTTTTTAAACATTTAATAAAAGTGAAAAAGTAGACTTCTAAAAACACTCAAAGACGACATAGGTAGAAACTGGACAGATAATACCACAAAAGCTGAAACTATGAATGCAGAACAATTTTAACCAAAATGACAGATGATGGAAATCCATGTGGATTCCTTATAGACAAGGGCAGTACCAGTACTGGTGGTAGTTGAAATAGTATTGAAGGTTAAGTAGATATATTCTGAAAGCTCTCCCCTGTATCTCTTAATTTAAAGGGACAGGGATTGGAGGTTATAAGCAGCCAAGAGAAAGACTAAATGCCCTCATCCTAGATCACTGATAAACAAAACCTCAATTCAAACAAGAATATAACAAGAATTGCTACTGCCCCTCTTTCCACACCTTCTCTTGGGAAGGAAGTGGAAAAAAGTCTAAAGAATAATGTACAATGGTAATAGTTCTCAAACAGGGGCTTCTGGGGAAATATGGTCATATTCTCAGAGGTTCAAGAAAAATCTGAGAGAATTTTTAAAAATATATTTTACTGATTATGGTATTATAGGTGTGGCATTTCTTTCTCCCCTTTATCTCTCTTGTTCTGCACCCCCCTCCCTCCAGCATTCCCCCACTTTAGTTCATGTCCATGAGTCATACATGTAAGTTCTTTGGCTTCTCCATTTCCCATACTATTCTTAACTTCCCTCTATCTATTTTACACCTACCATTTATGCTTCTTATTCCCTGTATCTTTCCCCCCACTTTCCCCCTCCCCCTCCCCACTGATACCCCTCTATGTATCTCAATTTCTGTGATTCTGTTCCTGTTCTAGTTGTTTGCTTAGTTCATTTCTATTTTTTTTAGATTCAGTTGTTGATAGTTGTGAGTTTGTTGTCATTTTACTGTTCATTTTTTAAATCTCTTTTTTAGACAAGTCCCTTTAACATTTCATATAATAAAGGCTTGGTGATGATTAACTCCTTCAACTTGACGTTATCTGGGAAGCACTTTATCCATCCTTCCATTCTAAATGATAGCTTTGCTGGATAGAGTAACTTTCTATGTAGGTTCTTGCCTTTCATGACTTTGAGGACTTCTTTCCATCCCCTTCAAACCTGCAAGGTTTCTTTTAAGAAATGAGCTGCTAATCTCAAGGGAGCTCCTTTGTAGGTAACTGTCTTCTTTTCTCTTGCTGCTTTTAAGATTCTCTCCTTATCTTTAATCTTGAGTAATGTAATTATGATATAGCATGATGTGTGCTTCCTTGGGTCCAACTTTTTTTTGGACCCGAGGAGCTTCCTGGACTTCCTGGAAGTCTATTTTCTTTGCCAGATTAGGGAATTTCTCCTTCATTATGTTTTCAATTTCTTGGTCTTCCTCTTCTCCTTTGGGCACCCTTATTATTTGGATGTTGGAACATTTAAAGTTGTCCCAAAGGTTCCTAAGCCTCTCCTCATTTTTTTGAATTCTTGTTTCTTCATTCTGTTCTGGTTGGATGTTTATTTCTTCCTTCTGGTCTAAACTATTCATTTGCATCCTGGCTTCCTTCCTTTCACTGTTAGTTCTCTGTACATTTTCCTTTATTTCACTTTTCATAGCCTTCACTTTTTCCTCTATTTTGCGATCAAGCTCAATCAGTTCTGCGAGCATCCTGATTACCAGTGTTTTGAACTATGCATCTGATAGGTTGGCTATCTCTTCATCGCTTAGTTGTATTTTTTTTTTTTTTGGAGCTTTGATCTGTTCTTTCATTCGGGCCATATTTTTTTGTTTGGTGTGCCTGTTACATTGTAAGGGGTGGAACCTTAGGTGTTCACCAGGACGGGGCAACCCAGAGCACTGGTGTTGTCTGTGGGGAAGGGGTTCAAGAAGAAACAATGCTGCTTGCTCAGCTCTTGGCTGGCTTTTAGTCACTTCTGCTGCTACCCACAAACAAATTGGGCCCTTCTGATGCTGATTCCCAAGTGGGTGGTTTTGTGTATGTTCTAGGATCTCGTGGGTCTCTCCAACAAACTCTCCTGTGAGCCTGAGAGTTTCTCCTGCTACCTCATCCCCCACAGGTTTTTTCAGTCACAGGTTTTGAGGCTTTATTTCCCCAAGCTGGAACCCTGAGTTGCATGGTCTGTTGCATTCCTCCTGATTTATCCGCATGCAAATGTAGGACCACCTGCTCTGCCAGCCACCACCTTGCCTGGAGTCCTCTGTACTCCGGCTGCCTGTCTCTGTCCCTCCTACTGGTTTGGATGAATATTTCTTCTTTAACTTCTTGGTTGTCAAACTTCTATACAGTTTGATTTTATGGCAGTTCTGGTTATTTTTTGTGTTTAACTTTGTTGTTGTCCTTTTTTTGGTTGTGTGAAAAGGCAAAGTGTATCTGCCTATGCCCCCATCTTGGCTGGAAGTCCTCTATGAGAATTTTAATTCAGATTACAATGGCAATCTAATATTTTGATATTGTTATTTGTGTTTGTGATTGTTTTACGGTCAACTGTGATTATGTTGTGCTGTTTTATGCAAAATAACTAGGAAAAGAAGTATATTCTAAATTAGTATTCTTGCAGTAAAAATTCAGAACATATTAAACATAGAACTATACATGAGATTACATCTTTCAATTAAATAAAAATTAGGCAATTTATCAAAGCTTTTGCTCCTTCACTGCATTCAGTCAGTTTATCCAAGAGGCCTTCCCTGACCACCATCCTAACAGACATGTTGAAGTTGATGCTCTATAGGGAACATGCCTTCTTATCAAGTCATGGGGCATTATAACAATTTCATATATATTAGGACTCAAAGAAAATCTCAATATATTCCCTAAATTGAAATATTTCAACTTAAATTCACTGATCACAAAACAATACAATAATTTTTATAACTCTCACCTAAACAATTTCAACTTTATAAAATTAAAACTGCCAACAGGTTGGGTCACAAGGTTGGGTACCACTTCAAGGAGGCACTGCCATACCCCGGGAGTTGTATACAGGGCTAACTTTTGGAGGGTTGAGTTACGGGCAGCCCATCTCATCCCAGAGATGGCAGGAAAGGGAGGAAGGAGAGAGGAAGGGAAGGAAAAAGTAGGAAGAGAGGTATAGATTTACATGACTGACTGGCCTCAGTGGGAGGTGCAAAAGGCAAGTTAAACATGATGGCAGTGAAAGCACACGGGGCCTGACAACCCCCACCTCAAGCCCTGTACCCATTGCCTGCTATCCCCATGGGCTACCCCTCTTCCTCTTCATCTGCCCCACCCCATTACCTACATAGCTGACCCAAATCCAAAGCATTTTATACACAGTGCCTGACACAAATAACACCACTTTTTATCAAAATCTTTTATTACAAAATCATAAGCATATAATTCTCTAACCTAATATCACATTCAAGCACACCAAATGACATTTAGGTGAAATGTTCAACTATAAATTATTACACCTATATTATTACTGTACCAACCATACTCAAGCAGGCGTTACTTCTGCCAGACCCTGCATATCATCTTTTTTCTTTTTAAAGAAAATGAAACAAAACAAACCTGCTAACACATACAATCTAGAAAATTATAGCCATAAGTTAAATAAATTTGAAAACCTGACTGAAAGGATAACAGACTAGAACAATTTAAAACAGCCCATATGCACTTAAGAAAAATAAGAAAAACTCAGTCTTACTAACAAATATGGGACAATTTCAGAAAAGAACTATCCCACAAAAACAAGTGTCAGTCCTAGAAGGTTTATGAATGAATTGTTTCTAATCTTCTGTTATGGGTAATTTCCATGCTATTTACATAATTCTATGGTACAGATAAAAATGGAAATGTTCCTGTTTTTAGGAAAGCTATGTAACAATGTTAAAAGCTGGGAAACATAACATTTTCTAAATAAATAGAACTACCAATGTTTTTTACTTAGGAAGGCTGATGCTAAAAATGCAAAGCAAAATATTTATGGGTAGAATCCAGAGTTACAGAAAAATAATAATATACTACAAACAAGTATGGTTTATTCTAGGAATTTTAGGAACATCAATAAAAGTACATATTATAATATAAATGTTACACTGGGTAATGGAAAACTGTTATTTTTGACCTTCTGATTATAGCACTTTAATTATTTTTAGAGAAATACTGAGTCTTTAGTGGGGTTGTAATGTATTACCCAGTCTAGCCAAAATGTAAATCCTTAAAGTTTTACTGGAAGTGTTTGGAAGATAGGATAATTTTCTCTGCTGTAACAGAGCTGCCATCCTGGAGCTTAGGGCTATTCTTGGAATTAATATGTAAAGAAGGTCTTGTCTGAGAGTGAAAGTAATAGAGAAAGAAAGATATGGAGATGGAGAAGATGAGAGAAAGAGGCACAGAGAGACATACAACTTCTGTGGACATTTAAGACTCTAGTAGCCATATAATTGAGTCTAAAAGCAAGGTTTACCCCTGCTCCCTTTGGGTACTTGATTTAATAGATTTGCTTTTTTGCTTCAATTATTGTAAGTTGGATTTTCTATGCTTCCAACTTAAACAGTCCTAACTAAAGCAATTCTATAGTAAAAGTTAAAAGTAAATAAAAGCTACAAAGGCATTTGATAAAATTCAATACCCACTCCTAATTTTAAAACACTGGAAGATCAGGAAGAAGACTATTTTACCACTTGTTAAAAGTATTATAAACCAGCAACTAAAATCATCTCTGCAAATCCATCACCATCCACTGAACTGTTTAAGCCAAAAACCCAGTTGTCATCCTCTATAGCTCCCTTTCCTACACCATCCATTGCCTATCAGTTACAAAGTTTGTATTTTACATACAAAAGCTATCTATGTCTTGCTGTCACGACTCTAGTACAAGTGACCATTGTCTGTTGCCTGTACAACCCAGTAAGTTTTCCAGTCTCTATTCTGGCTCTTCACCTTTCTACCTGCCAACTCCT